CACACACACACACACACACACACACACACACACACACGCACGCCCTCTTCTCCTGCATCCACCACCAACAGGTTTGTTGTAGAACACCACTCCTCCACAGTCAATAACCTTGGAGCTCATAAGTGTTGGCATAATTTTCTCATTTTAATTCTGGTTCATTTTCTATGCTTCATGCAAGTAAACTGTTGCTATGTTTGCTACTGTACCTTTAGGGATCGGTTCTGGTTTTGGTGCTTTTTCGGCAGTTTCCACTTCCTCTACGCTTTCATCCTTTTCATCTTTCTCCTCTTCTTTCAGGGTTGTTATGTCTTTGAATAAACAAGCAAACATATTTATAAGGCTCGCCGGATAGTCTTTACAACTTTAAGTAACCAGTAACAATTTATTTTCCTTTGACCTGTTATTCTTGAACGCTGCCAAGCGTTTTTGGCAGAAGCTAAAATTTTCCATTGTTGGTGGCTAGATTGCATTAGCGTTTGACAAAGAGATATAATCAGATGTAATTTACATACAGAACCATTCTTTTCAATTATTCTCTTGAGACATGATCATTCAGACTTCATTAGCAACATCAGTTAGGAGCTGGAACAGGTGGTTTAGCTTTGCGCAAAGTGAATTAGCAAGTCAGCTAAATTAAGTTAGCAAGGTAAAGTCAAGCTGCCCTATGTTTAACTACCATTAGTAAAAAGCAAAAGGTATAAGCAGTATACATAAAACTTACGAATAGCTTCATGTGCTGCTGCTACTAAGACAATGATTATGACCACTAATTCTAACTTTTTACTCATTCTAGCCATAATAACCTATTTTGAGCTTCTCTCATTTGGAAGTTCATCTTCATTTGGCTTAACCCAGTGTTTTCCTTGATCATCCAGAACTCTGATGCCCTTGAATGACCCCTTTGGAGACAAGTGTTTGGTGACAGCTGACTTGAAAGCAGTCTCTCATGGATTCTAACCGTTTCACTGGCAGCTGAGCAGCAAAGCACCAGCTGCTGTTCTTTGATCCGCCCAGCATGAATTAAACTTCAATCAGAAACTCAAATGGGGTCCTTTCCTACCAGCATATTTGGATATGTATAGTAGCAAACTTCGACTAAACTATTTTTGTGTGATAGCAATGGCTAAATGGTTCAAGGCTTTGGTTAAAATCTAGAAAACCTACAGGTAGTACATTTGAGTTTTTATAAAGTTTTCAAAATGAAATTACAGACTGATATAACAGTTCCAGATTTATAAAGAATTCCAATTTTCACTTCTTATATGGTTTCCTAACAGTTCCTGTTCTTTTAGTACTTTTAAGGAATAAATAAATGCATAAATAAAATCCAATAAATGGCTTTAAATGTATAATAAAACAATAAAATGTAAACACACAGAATGTGTTAAAATATTTAATTGATTATTTTATATAATACTAATGACAAAACGCAATAAATTTACCAAAAAGTGTTGACGTATTAGAGGAATTCGCTCGGGAATCAGATTACATTGGTTGCGTTGAATGTTTTTGATTCACTAGAAAGAATTAGTCTCAGAGTGAATCATTGAAGAATCGGACTACACTAGTAGCGCTGTATTCTTCTGAATCACTAAAAAGAACTGACTCATCGAGTCACTCCATTGAAATCGGATTAAGTTGGGTTGTATCATGTGTTTGATTCACTAAAAAGAACCGTTTCAGAGTGATTCGTTTGGGAATCGGACTACACTTGTTGCGCTCTGTTTTTGGTTCACAAAAAAGAATAGACTCCGAGTCATTCCTTCGGAAATCGGACTACACTGTATGTTTTTGATTCACTAAAAAGGACCAGTTAATAAAAGTTGTTTGGGAGTCAGACTACATTGGTTATGCTGGTCATTTCACAATGTAGATTCAGTGACGGTGCTGCAGAACTACTGAATAAGTCCAGGAAACTCTGCAACAATATTTTATGTTACCCTGATGAATCAGCAGAAGAATGCATGTGTGAAAACTTTTTTTTTTTTTTTTTTAATTACTGGCTACATTGTTTTGACATGGACACATTAAAAAGATTTGCAAAAACAAACAAATAAAACAAAACAAAAATGTACTGTATCTTTTAGAGTCAAAAACCAAATAATCTTGGTACCTTTCTCACGTGAAGAGCCATCATCTTCATCAGCCACCACTGTTGTCTCATCTCCACCTGGTTCGGAACTAACTACAGGTGTTGTTACTATAATATCATCATCATCTTCCTCATCCTCACCCCTTATCTGTTCCTCTCCCTCCTCTTTTCCCTCTTCCTCCTGCTCCTCCTTATCTGCAACATCATCAGCTAGCTCAGGCTTTTCAATAACACCCTCACCCTCACCCTCACTTGTTATATGTTTTTCAGAGTCAGCGTCTTTCAGTCCAGCACCAGTCTCATCTTTAAGACTGTCTTCTGTAACCTCACCATGATCCTCAGCTAGATCTTTTGCTATCTTATCATCATGGTCATCATATGGGATATCAGTTGCGGCTAAGCCATCTTGTGAGTCAGCTAAATCAGCTACTGCATCATCAGCTTTAGCAGCACTCTCCTCTATGGTTGTTAATAGCTCTGAATCACCATCAGCTTTAAGAAGTATAGGTTCCTCACCAGTTTCTTGTGCTTCAACATCAGTGACTGTAGCACCAGCATCAGCTATGATACCAAGAGAAATGACGATATCAGCCTCTTTCTCCTCACTTTGGTCATCTTTTTGGTCATCATCAGTAATGTCATCTACTTCTTCTTTTTTCTCTTTATTATCAGCAGGAGTATCTTCTTTTCCATCTTCGTCCTCAGGTGGTTCTTTAACTACATCAATTTTATCCTCCTCCTCCTCTTCTTCAGCTGCCTCAGCTTCTTTAGAAGTGACTTGTTCTTCTTTCACCTCATAAGGTTCAGCAGGGATTGAAGTATCTTCCCTTTCGACAGCAGGAGCAGCAGCAGCTTCCTCTTCCTCCTTACCTTTTTCCACAGTTTCTTCTGCTGCTGCTTCCTCCTCTTCATCTTCTGCTTCTTCCTCAGCATCAGCTTCCATTTTTTCATTTTCTTCAGCCTCCTCCTCCACAGCTTCCTCTGCTGCTGCTGCTTCCTCCTCCTCTTCCTCCTCAGCATCTGCCTTCTCTTCCTCCTTTTCTTCAGCCTCCTCTTCTTTTCCCTCCTCCACCACAGCTTCCTCTGCTGCTTCCTCCTCCTCTTCCTCCTCAGCATCTGCCTTCTCTTCCTCCTTTTCTTCAGCCTCCTCTTCTTTTCCCTCCTCCACCACAGCTTCCTCTGCTGCTTCCTCCTCCTCTTCCTCCTCAGCATCTGCCTTCTCTTCCTCCTTTTCTTCAGCCTCCTCTTCTTTTCCCTCCTCCACCACAGCTTCCTCTGCTGCTTCCTCCTCCTCTTCCTCCTCAGCATCTGCCTTCTCTTCCTCCTTTTCTTCAGCCTCCTCTTCTTTACTCTCCTCCTCCACAGCTTCCTTTGCTGCTGCTTCCTCCTCCTCAGCATCTGCCTTCTCTTCTTCTTCCTCCTCCTCTTCTTCTTCTTCATCCTCTTCTTCCTCCTCCTCGATCTCATCACCATCTTCTTCCTCTTCTTCTTCTTCATCTTCGTCCTCATACTCTTCGTCTTCTTCTTCCTCCTCCTCCTCTTCTTCAGCAAGCCCCTCATCTTCCTCCTCCTCGTCCTCTTCCTCCTCATACTCCCCTTCTTCTTCTAACATCTCCTTGGCCCGTATCTCTGCAACTATATCATTAGGTTTTCAGAAATATCAGTGAAGCTGTAAGAATGTATGGGGTTCAAACCAAAAGCCCCACAGTATTTGCCAGAAGCAAAATAATATTTGGCTAGACATACACAATCCAATGCATAACATATCAGATTTATATGATGCATATTATGTGTTTTACTAGTTGAATACTCAGAAGACATGCACACAGTTACATCTTTTAAAAAATGAATGTGCAAATGTTGATGGATAAAGGAATACATTGCTTGGCTTGATGAGACCTCTTAGTCAATTTATGTTAAAGTTGGCATTGAAACTGAAATTGTGATCATCTTTTTTCCCCTATTGTGACATGTGACAGTTTTGAATTCATAGTAACTTTAAGCCAACTGAGGTGATTACGTATTTTTGTACACCAACCCAGAGGTTAGCATCACACTGGTTCCCTTGTCATTGGCTTTTGGATTATTGCAGAAAATAAGCTCTATGACCAACAAAGTTTATGATTCTTACACATTATGTTCTTACACATTTTGATAATCTTCAAAAATGAACACAACTAATTTTTTAATACAATCGGCAAATGTAAAAAGCCAAATGTAAGCTATAAACAAACTATACCATGGTTGCATGACTTCAACGTCACCACCATTAAGTTTCTGGCAGCTCTTTTAGTCTTTATATAAAAAAAACATTTTCTCTGAAAGTTATGAACACAATGAAGCTGTAAAAGCGGACTAGTGAATGGATGTTTTTTTTTTCTGTTCGGCCTAATGTTCCTGACAACCTTTGTAGTTCCATTCAGCCAGTGGTTAACAACTGCCTTTTTCAAGACAAGTAAAAGCTTCAAAAAAATCATATGGGGGTCTTACTGATGTGTTTTACGTCATAGAATAAAACGTTAAAATGAGTTTGTTGCGCTTGTGTTAACCACAGACCTTATTTCAGGCATTTAACCAAACATCCATTCAGAAATCCCATTGACTTCAGGTTGATTGAATGCAGAAGGTTTAAAATACTAACTGGTTTCCAGGTTTTAGTCCACAAAAATACATAATACGTGGTTATTTAAATAAATATGTCCCACCCTAATTTCCTCTTTCCACACAGGAAGGAAAACAGCAGTCTTAAACCATGTCAATGCATCTTTAAGAGGTTCTTTGAGCATTGTACAATAAAATGCATCGCAAAGGGCAGTTCACAGCATCTAAAATTACTGTGTGACTGCAGGGCGTATACTATCCACTTAGAACAATAATTACGGTTTATCATACTCCTCCAGTGACAGTGCCTATACGTCTAAGGAGTGCACAGCTAATTTCCTGGTCTCTTAGGTGCCCCTATGTCAGCAATTATAGACTGTACCTTTAAAGCAAAACCAGGCCACACAAATTTATGAGTTCCCTTAAGTGTTAATATGACAAATGACAGCAAATGTGTTGCCCATATAATCAAATACAGACTTTTATTATACATATGTGAGACTATTTTTATTCACAAACATTTGCATTAGCTGAAACTGATAATGTTGTTTAGATGCTTTCTGCATTAGCTTTACCATTTAGAGACGGCTTAATGATAATTTCATGAAGATGTTAATGGACAAATACATGCAGCTTTATGGAACACTGATTAGCATGGGGAGCATAATTAGGGTGTGTGAAAACAAAGGGAAAAGATTATGAATGGCACCAAATGTAACAACACAATCAATGACAGCATAATGCCCATTCTCCATAAAATACTCTAATGCTTGCCCTCCTAATGCAACTGTAATATAAATGTGTTAATTACAGACTCAAGCAAACTGTTATCTGTTATGCTGATGGTTTATGTATTCTCTAATGAATGCAATCTCATCAAGTGCTCTTCAAGACACAAACCTTTTTTCCTCGGTGGCAAGAATTCTCCTAGAGGAGAGAGACACAGAACATAAGAACAACTGATTAAATTAGGTAGTTAATGTGAGGTTTAATGCATGGTATAAAAATGCAGTTGTTTATGCGGCACAGTGTCTCTAAGTCAGAGATGTTAGGAACCAAAAACCAGGGCCTGCAAGCCAAAGTTGGCCCATGGTGACCTTTGATTTGGCCCGCCATGACATATCACAAGAGATGGGGAAAATAATAGAAACATTTTTTGTTTATTTAATAATTTTTAATTATTTTGTTTTAATGATTTTGCATTGAAATGTAAAAAAAGATTTGAAAAATCGTTTAAAAATAAAAATTTTTTTTTTAAAATTTAGTTTAATTATTATTTTTATTTTATTTAATACATTTTATTAATGTAGTTGGATATAATGCAGAATTTACTTTTTTTCAGAATTATAATTTCAGAAATTTTTGGCCTTTATTTAAGTTTTTGTTTTATTGATTTTTGGCACTTCATACAGTTTGTGCAACTCTACCTCAGGTCCACTTGTTTAATAGTGTAAAAATGTTGCTTTTCTTCTTTCTTATGCCACTGAGACATACTTTAAAACGTGATACTAACTTACTAATGTAAATAAAGGGGTCATATGATGCGATTTCAATTTTTCCTTTCCTTTGGAGTGTTACAAGCTCTTGGTGCATAAAGAAGA